AGGTAAGACTTTTCGCAACGTTTGTCAAACGTTGCGAAAAGTCACCTTTAGCAACGTTTGTCAAATGTTGCGAAAAGTCTTACATTTCGCAACGTTTATCAAACGTTGCCAAAGGTAAGATTTTTCGCAACGTTTGATAAACGTTGCTAAAGGTGATTTTTGGCAACATTTGATAAATGTTGCGAAAAGTTTCATCTTTAACCACATTAGTCAAATGTTGCAAATAAATAATATTTTCGCATGACATTCTAAATTAAATTATATATAGAACCCTAATCCTAAACACATTCACGCCTACCTCATTCCTCTCCCCACGGCTTCCTTCCTTCCACTTCCACTTCTACCTCTGAATCCCTTTCGTCTCCCGCAAGAAAAACACGTCGACTGGTAATAATTATTTTTTCTTTTAATTTCTGAATTCTTGTTAAATTATTGCCTGCTTATTTGGTTTTTATAGTTTTACTTAGTAAATTAAGTCAATAATTGTTGGTAATTTGTATACTGGTTGGTGTTTGCATCTAGGATGTTGATTTATTGCCGGTGATAGAGGAGGAGGAATCCGAAATTTCGATGTCATTTGAGCAATCAGTACCGGGACAGAGCTTAGTAGGGAATGCGGAGGGTCTGACTATTGAAGAATTGCCCAGCGTACCGGAGAATCAAGAGAGGTCTATTGTGCTTTACAATGCCACGAACATGCCTCTCCTGCAGCCCCCTTCAAATTTCTCGATTTCGGTGAATCCGGACCTGATTTCAGGGTTGAAAAGTAATTTTTACTTCCTTGTTTATTGAGTTTACGTTTGGCTGCTTGCACTGGAAAATCATCTTCTTAGGATTTTATGAATAGGACTGCTCTATTTGAGGGTTAAAATTTGTGGAAAATTAGGGCATGAATGAAGTGCAGGAAAACGAATTAATCTGATATAGGCTCACTTTATTCATAGGGAGGGCAGTACAGTTGGGGAAATAATTTTGAGCTGATTGTAATGGTGTTAGTATAGTTTGGTTTCTGTTTTTAATTAAAATGGTGACTTAAAAGTATGTTCTTATGCTTTAAAAAAAAGTTACGTTTATGAGCCTGTTAATGGCTAGCATAAAAGTAACTTTTTANAATGGTGACTTAAAAGTATGTTCTCATGCTTTAAAAAAAAGTTACTTTTATGATCATGTTAATGGCTAGCATAAAAGTAACTTTTTAATGGCTAGCATAAAAGTAACTTTTTTTTTAAAGCACGAGAACAAAATAAGTCATCTCATATCACTGTATTAAACAAATTTAGTCGGGACTTCTATAATCATTTTAACAAATTGTTCCTTTGTACCTAATATTAACATTATATGGAGTGGAAAAGAAAGTAGAATAGGTTGTTTTCGGAACGCGTTTATCTGAATATATGACTAGAGATGGAGCCCCTTGATTTCTTCAGAATCTAACTTAAAGTATATACATCAATATTTGTGAT